TATTATGCTTGAAGATTTCTGAGATTCTGCTGTGAGTATTAAAAAAGGGGGACAGGAATACAGACTAGAATAGTGACTAGATCCTATAGAAGAGGCCTAGTAGAAATGAACTGAGAAAACAATGGGCAATCCAGGACAGGAGACTTCAGCAAGGTGTCCATTGGTACCAGATAGTCTGACTTCCCCTAGGTCAGGAAAATGGCACCCCCATAAGTGCTGTGTAGACTCAGCATAGTCAGCTGAACTAAGAGTTTCTTTGTCACATCCAGTAGCAAGCATGTGCGCTACAGTGGATGCTGCTAAAGGTTGGATTACATGAGCTGTGATAACTTGCTTTGTCTTTCATGAACAACATTCAGGACCAGATTCCTTAATGAGTACAGGGAATCTTTTTTATTTTTCAGATGACTAACACTAGCCTGCCCCACCTCCATCATTAGAGAGCATGGTGGCCTACCTACTGACATCCGTCATCATCACAATATTCCTTTCTCAGCTGCTTCCCTTGTCTCCTCAACTAGGCAGGCTGTGTCATGGGTGTACCCTATTATGCAGGCTGTATCCCAGTCAGATACAACTAAGGTGGCAGAAAGATTCTATTCTGTAGACTGTCCCAGGAGAACCAGCTAGGGTGGCAAGTAGATCCAACTACAATAAGCAGGGATCCCAGTTAATTTTGGGGCCCCCAAAGGTTTCCATAAGGAGGCAGGATACTCTCAGGGTTCTGAAAGCCTCCTCCAAACCAAGGAGGAAGGCCAGATCTAGACAATATAAAATTATTTAAAAAGTAATAAGAACTTGTGGACTGACATGGAATAGTCAACATTGGAAAGAACAGTGAATATGCCAAATGCACAACAAATCTCAAAACCATAGAGGAACACACATGCATGCGCAGGCTCGAGTGTGCACACACACACACACACACACACACACACACACGGCTTTTATTTTATTAACATCAAATCCTCAGACAGGTAAAATGAGAATGACTAACAGCTCACCAGTCATCACCAGGTGCTGAAAATGGAAAAAGAAGATTAACTGTAAATGGAATGTTTTGAGTAAAGAAAACTTCCTGGAATTCATTGTTGTTGAAGACTGCACAAATACGTTCACTATTTCAAAATTCATCAACTGCACACCAAGAAATAAGTCAATTACACTGGAGCTAAATTTCACTACAATTAAAATAAAGAAATTAACATGAATGAATAAAATTAAATAGAATGAAATATTCCCTGAAATTCATGTAGAGCCAATTATGATGATACTGTTAAAGTTAAATAAGGTATATGCATTAACTGCCCTGGAGAGGAATGAGGTAGCCAAAAGAGAAATGTGACTAGAATAAGGATGTAATAGGATATTCATTCTAACCACAAACAGCCTAATGTCACTGATAGTAAAGGTTGAGCTATGTTTTAAGGAAAGTCAGGTGAGGCGTCTATAATTCTATAATTTGCAGGTAGAGGAAGCTGAAGGAGGGGTTAGAGGTCAACCTGACTAAATGATATCCTATCTCATAAAACAAAACAAAAATAAAGGAAGGGAGGGAGGGAGGGAGGGAGGGAGGG